CATATGGAACACTAGCGCCCTCTTATTTTTGTAAGATTTTTGTTTACATGGAGTTCGGGCTCCTTGTATAGTCTCCATGGTTGAGACTGTGTATGTTTCTATTTCTATTTCTAACCCAAACAGAAAATATAACCAAGAAAAGGACTATTATTTTCTCTCATATTCTGTTTTCTTTTTTTTTGTCACAGTAACATAATTATGTGTTTATTTCATAATACTATTATGAATTTATTAATATGAGTTTACCTACAGATTTTGGTCCTGATTCTGGAGGCAGAATTAAGGTACTTTACTAAAAATAATTTTTTTTTTCTGTTAAGTAAATGAATTATTGTAGGGTGTCTGCATTGTTAAACCGATCGTATATGGCAATATTGCCAGGTATTTCGGGAAAAAACGTGAAGAAGATGGACACACGCACCAATGGACTGTATATGTAAAACCTTACAATAACGAAGATATGTCGGCATATGTAAAAAAAGTACACTTTAAATTACATGAAAGTTACGCCAATCAAAACCGCATAGTTGTAAAGCCTCCTTACGAAATAAGTGAAACCGGCTGGGGAGAATTTGAAATTGTCATAAAAATACATTTTCATGATCCCAATGAAAGGCCAGTAAGTATATAAACCACATCAAATCTTTTTTTATTTTCGTAAAATTAATGAAGTTCCTTTTTACAGGCATGTATAATTTACTAATAGTACATTTTTTAGGTAACCATGTATCATATTTTAAAACTTTTTCATTCTGGTGGTACTCAAGATATTGGCATGGAGCAAGGAAAAGGCCTCGTTTCAGAGAGTTACGATGAAATTGTTTTTCAAGATCCTACACAATTGATGCATCATTTATTAACCAACGCCAAACCTTTGACATTAGGACGATGGGAACATAATACTAATTGTAAGAAAATTAAATTTGACAATACCTATAATACATTGATATTTTCTTACTGTAACTTATTTAACGTTAGATCTACTGCAAGACAAGAGAGGTCTGTCTAATTTGTTAACATTGCCCACAGTTTTAGGGAGGTAGCGAGGTCGATGCCGTCAGATCTAAGAAAGCTTGCCTAATATTTGATATATTACAATAGGGTTATAAAAGAAATAAATAATACTGATAAATGTGTAATTTGTCAGGTTGCAGAAGCATCAATTGCAACGCTTCCTAGATCATGACAGCCTACAAATTTCAAAATTTTTGGGCATTAGCCACTTACTAAAAAAACTACAACAAAACAGCTATACATTATCAAATAAAATTACTAGCATCAACAGAAACTTTTAGTTGTATAGCAAAACCTGTTTCTCAGTATTGAGAGTTGTTTACTTATTACTTATAGTGACAGAGTATAGTTGTTACGATCACAATTGGAACCGCATAAAAACGTTTAACTCATAAATTCTGTAATCGATAGATGTCCAGAAAAATGTTGCCCTGTCTCGTCTAGATATACTATATCTCGTGAAATATCTAATGATTTATAATTATAATCAGGATAATCATTTAATTTATCTCGAATTATGTTTAATGTAGGAACTTTATTTTCTTTATACTATTATAAATTGTGAGCCGCAGTACATTTGGTAAAATCGTCAACTTTCTTTAATTTTGTTTTTTTCCGTTTCCTCTTTGTACCGTGATCATTCCTTCTTTAATTACGCGATAAATTGTTTTTGATATATTAGTTAATTCGTTAATCCGTTGCCTAACTTTTTTATCACATTGTTCACTATTTTCAATTTTCAAACATTCATATATTTAATATAATACGTTGACTTTGTACACGTAAATCTTTGTTTTTAAACTCTGAATTTGTTTCGATGCTTTCGACAAAAACCGGTTCCACTATTTGGAGATTTTTCCGAGTTATTTCGTTATCCTCCACTTGAAAGAATCTCCAGAGAGCCATGCTAAATTACTAGATAATTACATATAACATTTATTTTAATAACTATTACCCTTTACTGGTTACAATATGAACAAATAATATCTATAATAATAATAATATCTCTACTCCTCATTCTAACTACGAGAATTAGCCCAGAAGTCAGAGACTTGTGCAGGAGAGGAGGCGGCATATTATTATTACGCAGGCCGTATTTGCGCCCAGGAACGACTTATGTTGGCAGGTCCTAATCACCATTCAGTGCAGGAATGAGGGAAACCTGGAAAACCTCATTAATTAGGGGGGTGGTCAACCAGTGTCAATCTCTCACATTGACCCAAGCCAACATTCTTCCACCCTACCATACCTGCACAGAGGGTGCCAATCCTCCGTACAAGCATAGCTAATCTACGGTCTACCGGCCGCGGGATTCGAAACCCGGGCAGATCGACACATCGATTTAAGTACTGACGCCTTAAACCGTGCGGCTTTCGACCGTGTAATAATATCAACTAATAAATAATAATACGTATTATACCAACAACATACCCTGCCAAGCAATGCTCTTCACTGCACTGGCAAAGTGGCAAAGCTAAGTGAATCCGTGTAGCATACAAAAAATTATTTACGACCTAGTGGACCAATACAGGTTTGCTTTGATGATCAGCGCGCCGCCGTCAATTCTACATCAGACGGACTAGTTTACCAATACCAGACTCGCCGAAGTGCTATTCGAGCATAAATTATGAGACACATCATGGTCGAAGCATAGGAAGAAATTTCAGGTGCATACGGTCCTGTGCTTTAAGATTTACAGGTACCAATCGTAACAACTATACTACTAAATTTTTCAATTTATAAGATGGGGTCCAATTCACTTTGTATTGATAGTACTCTTAAAAATTAAAAATATTAAGCTATTGTATCCAAAAACCTCTACTTTTTTCAATGTTTTCTTCATTTTTTCTGTGTCCTCAGAAGCATTATATCTCCCAAAATATAAAAATAAACTATCGGTGCAATTAATATTTGATGCAAATAATTTACACTTGTGAATATGAATACAAATGTTAGGAACATCCCTATAGCTGATATTTAAATTTTTGTCAGCATTGCTCCGCCACAAGTGTTATCTATTTTGCCCTTATTTTTCAACGTAGAAAATTTTTAAAATCTAACACCTATGTTGCGAAAACAGTTGAGCATCAAATTATATGTCTAAATTTTTTTTAATACAATATACAGTGCGTGGGAGTTTTTTTTTTTTCGGATATTTTTTTTTTGAGGGAATTAATTCTTCATAAAAAAAATATTGCTTGTCCAAATAATTGCATTACCATAGAAATAATTTAAAAATGGTTCGTCATAAAAAAATATTAACGAATTTCAAGTTCAACCTTCATATAATTTTATTTTTTAGAATATCGCAAACAAAACTAAAAAATTATTAAAATGGCACCTTATCAATATTTACATACGGTTCCAAACTCTTCTCAAATTTTCTGTAACGATGTGTTACATTATCTAGTGAAATGTTGGCTGTACTGTTTATTTATTATACAGGGTGTTCCTAAATAAGTGTCGCAACGGAAAACAAAATTCCTCTTGAAAAAAGTAACATTGTTTTCCTCTTCCATTTTTCTCTCCGGGCTTTCGTTTTCGAGATACACGGTGTCAAAACTTTATTTTTTTTTTAGTTTTTCGCCAATATCTTAGGAATCGTTTGAACTACAGGACTGAGCTTTTGTACACACATTACCACTATTAATAGCTACTTTTTCGCACCCTTCTCGAATTCATTGGACGTGCCAGTGGTGGAGATTTTAAGGTATCGTAAGGGTTTTTCCCCCCCTAAATTTTACGCCACTGGAAAAATTGACTTTTGACAGCAAATTCTAAAGCGCCAATGAATTTTACACAATAAGAGTTCTCTTGGTTCATTGCTCTAAAGTCAACCGTTTTCAAGAAAAATGACTTTTTATGAACAAAAGCAAACATTTTGCTAACGTTTCGAAAATCTTTTGTAATTCAAAAAATAGGTAGTAATAATTAACAATTTTAACGAAATTTAACAACAGATAGGATTTTAACTTTTTTTTATCAATTTGGCGAGTAAAATTTACAGAAACTGTTCAAAATTACGTCCGTTGGCTTGAATGCACGCATTACATCTTCTAATCATGTTTCTTTCTGCCGCTGCGGCTTCACCTCTATCGGTCAACTTTTCGATAGTATTGACATGGATTTCATAAACGATGCATTTCGTTCTCCGGATGTTCTGTTCAGTTACTTGCACTTGCAAAATGTTCAAAATGCAAAATGCAAAATGTAAAAAATTTTCGAAACGTTAGCAAAATGTTTGCTTTTGTTCATAAAAAGTCATTTTTCTTGAAAACGGTTGACTTTAGAGCAATGAACCAAGAGAACTCTTATTGTGTAAAATTCATTAGCGCTTTAGAATTTGCTGTCAAAAGTCAATTTTTCCAGTGGCGTAAAATTTAGGGGGGGGGAAACCCTTACGATACCTTAAAATCTCCACCACTTCCAACAATTCCTAAGATATTGGCGAAAAACTAAAAAAAAATTAAAGTTTTGACACCGTGTATCTCGAAAACGAAAGCCCGGAGAGAAAAATGGAAGAGGAAAAGAATGTTTCTATTTTCAAAAGGAATTTACAGTTTTCCGTTGCGACACTTATTTAGGAACACCCTGTATTTTTCGATAATTCTAAATTATTTCCAAAATCATTATTTGTGGCATATTCAGCTGTTGCTGTATCTATATTGGCTATAACTTGGCTAATATTCTGCTTTAGATACTTCAATGTTTGTAGTCTATCCAATGAACGTTATCTAGAATCCTATTGCAAAAATCTGGTGGCTTTAAATCGGATGACCTCAGTGGCCAGATGATATTGCGGTCACTTGAAATAAACCAACCTGGAAACATTAACTGTCAAAGGTTGGTTTCTTCAACTGTATGAGATGTAGTGCCATCTCTTGAAACCACATATTTATCGGACTTCATTGGTTAATTTCTGGTTCCAAAAAAACACAATAAACAGTATCAGTTGCTGCTTCGCCTTCAAGATTTTGAAAAAAAGAATGCCCTAATAACACCATATAGCATATTAGGATTATATCTCTAAGATTCATACAAGAAAATCTAAGTTTCCTGCAACTATTATTCTTATATATTTTTACTGTTAAAGGCATATCAATCAGATTAACTAATTAATCAACAAAATGTTTTTAGTTGAAGAGAGAAAGGAGAACACTTTAAAATCTATCCTGGATGCCAAACAAAAAGTAAGGACAGAAATTGCAATTTTAAAAAATAAGTTAAAACTAGCCAAGGAAACAATATCTACTTTTAAAGAAGAAATAGCTAAATCGCAAGAAAACCAGTTTGTAATATAAATATGTGCTAGTTTATAATTTTTTTTTAAATAAAGTTAATCCTTATGTTGGTTGTAAATGAAAATAATTTTCTATAATTATTATAATTTTATATTTATTAAAATAAACATAAGTTAAGAAATTACATTTATTGATAAATGCATAAATTTCAAGAACTATAATACACTTTACTCTGTTAATTCTATAGTTGTATAGCAAAAGATTTAGACTTATCCTACAGCAGATGTAATAAGTTCAGCCACATCACTATCTGGCGAACGAACTGTTAACTGCATGGTAACTCCTTCGGATAGTGCCAGTTTTGCTCGTACCAGAATGTCGATTCCACCACGAAACATACCTAGTAATATACAAAAAGTGCAGAAATAATTTTTACCAGCAAGCTTCCAGGGTGTTAATGATAAGTACTTTAATGACGTATTCTACCGATGAAAATAATTAACTATTGCCCCATAAAAATTTTTGAAGGAAGTTTCCTTATGGAGATACAAGGTGTTCAATGTTTCAAATATTTATATTATTTTTCCTGTAACTTCACTGGCATAAAAGATCGAGTGATAAAATTTGGGGGGATGACTTTTTTGGTAGGATTGGTAGAAGAGGACCCATTGCTTGGCCGGCTCGTTCCCCCGACCTGAATCCCCTGGATTACATTTTTGGGGCTACTTCAAAACTATGATATATTGTACTCCAATTCCCAAAGTAGAAGTACTTCGACTGCACATTGTAGAGGGTTTTGCAACCATACACAATACGGCTGGAATTATGATGCGTGTAAGACGATCAATCCAGAGAAGCTGCGCAACATGCATTGCATCACAAGGACAGCATTTTGAACATTTCTTGTGATGTATAGTATTTTTAAATCTCTCAAAACTATTACTTATTGAATTTATTGTTACACATTTAGCAATCAATAGAAAATGGTAAATAGCAATGTAGGTACTTAAGTATATTCTTATTTGATTTCCCAATTATCTAAAGACCAGTAAATTTTAGGAATACTTCACAAGAATACTTTATTGCCACAAATTGATTGTACATTTTAAAAATATTTAAAATTATTTAAAAAACCAGTGGCATACGATTTTTTTTTCAAAAAAGGTTCCTTACTCCCCCAATAACTACGCCACTGGAGTGTATTTTGGAATAAGTTATCCATGAAAATAGTCCCTACTAAAAAAAATGTTATCCCCCCAAATTTTATCACTCAATCTTTTAAGCCAGTGACGGTACAGGAAAAATAATATAAATATTTGAAACTTTTAACACCTTGTATCTCCATAGGGAAGCGTCCTATCAAAAATTTTTATAGGACAAAACTTGATTATTTTCATCAGTAGAATACGCCATTAAATTTTGGCAAAACTTATCATTAACACCCTGTATATGAATATCGTCAACTCAGAAGCATAAGGTCGTATGTGTACTTTTTGGCAAAAATGACTAATGAAAAGGTCGTATGTGCAACATCTTTCTCATTTTTTAACCATATCTAACTAAGTAATTCAAGTTCAATGAAGAGTAAATCAAAAAATATCATTGGCAATAGATCAAAAGAGACAAAAAAAGAAAACATAAAACATAAGGAAAACTTTTCATAGGTCCTTACTTTGAAAAGTTAGAAAATACGTATTTGCACTTTTCTCATAACTTTGATAAATGTTCACATACGACCTTCTGCTTCTGGGCCAACGATATGAAAAAAAATGTCTGATTTAAGGATAGACGACATATTATTTTCAAATATACAAACTACATATTTCTGAAACTACACATGTGACATTCTGTATCCACTTTTGTTTGCTTTAACTTTTATTAACACATTTCTAATCTATTTTGACAACGTTGATATTTCACTTTTTTATAAAAATTGCTGAAAAAAACATTATCATATACTACTTAATAATTATGGATTTGTACTATATCATAGTCTAATTATTTCAATCAATAATTCAGTAATTCCAAGAAATGCAACAATTTATTAAATATGATGCATGAAAAAAATTGTGGTAAGCAAATAAAAAAAACAATAATTTGGAACAAATTTATAACATAATTATAATAAATATTTTGGTTCATAAACTGCAAGCAGATTTTTAAGTACAAGGTGTCACGCTTAAACTTCTTTATTCTTTGACCAATTTCAAAAATTTTTCCAGAAACAAATTACCTATTCTCATTCAGCATCCCTTAAAATGTCTTATCACCAAGTTTCATCGAATTCGATACATATTCAGACGAGCATTAGTTGGTTGTGTATTGCATTAATAAAAAACAGCAGTATCACAGTTAGATAGTTTTTTATCCTACATTCCATAAAAAAAAATTTTTGAAATTGGTCAAAAAATAAAGAAGTTACAAGCTTGTATTATGGACTGCTTGCCTGAAGATGTATTGATTTCGATGAAACTTAGAGGTAAGACGTTTTAAGGGATGCTGAATGAGAATACATAATCTGTTTTTTGAAAAAAAAAATGGCTAATACCAATGAGCTGTTTTGATGTCAAGAAAACACGTCCTAGTTGGCCATGATTTGCATTAATAAAAACAGCAATATCACAGTTAGAGTTTTTTTTAACTCACATTCCAAAATAAAAAATTTTGAAATCAACCAAAAAGAAAGAAATTACAGGCTTGTATTACATTTAAGCGTGACACCCTGTATATTTCATCATTCCTATAAAAATCTTGCTTAACAGTAATTTTCATAATTTTGAAAAGCTTGCAACTTTGAATGAATCAAAAAAGAGGACAATTTGAACAATACCTAATTCTGTTACAATAAGTTTTTAATTTGTTTCTAATTATTGTTTTTCTTTATTTACTCATTAATTGTCTACACTAACTCTAAATCGTTAAATTTAAATTTGTTTCATTTCTCAGAATTACTGAATTATTAATTTAATTAACTCCACTAAGCTGAGCTGTAAGAACAGATTTACGAGGCATATCCACAAAGTAAGAGTACTCATCTTCATAAAAATCGACATGGCGTATATGTATGAAAAATTTACATATTCAGAAAGGTACATCAAACATTATTTTTCAACGTAGCCGCTTTCAACCTCTATGCACTTTGTGAGCCGAGGGATGAGCTTCCTGATACCTTTATTAAAAAAACTTCCATACGCCTCTCAGTCCCATAGTTTCACAGCACTGTGGACCTCATCGTCAGTAGAAAACCTTTTTCTACCCATAAACACTTTCAGATGAGAAAAAATGATCAGTAAACGCCAGGTCAGGGCTCTGAGCGGGGTAGTTGATGATGTTCCAAACGAATGAATACAAGAGTTGCTTTGTGACGTGCATTGTCATGGAACAAGCAAACTACCTTCATTAACAATCCCCTTCTTTTGTTCTGTATAATTGTTTGATTGTTGTTGTAAAATAATTAAAACGAATATCGTATTGTGTCACCAGATATTTTATTTTAGAAATCGACCATCCTACATTACAGTCAAGTTAACACTGCCGTTCCGAGGTCGCACTCTCATACATCACATGTTACATGCGTCACATAGAGAGGCTGTACAAGCAAACAAAAAACATGAACCGAACAATAATGTTTTCAGAGTTTCAGAGTACCACGTGGCATTGTTTTCCTCTTGGGACAAAAAGTCGATGAGGGGAATCTCTTTACAGTCCCAAAACACAATCGCCATGATTTTTTGGTCTGTGAGGATGCATTTTTATCGGCTTTGTGTTGATCCGTGAGCTGTTTTGATACCCACCCTGTACACAATTTTCGATAACCAAGTGTTTCAGTAATGATTTCATACAGAAGAGATATCTGGAGATTTGTGGAAACACTGCGTTTATCGGGTCCAAAGTCAATCGATGGTCGCCATGAAGTATTTCTTCGATCTTGTTCACCATCTCATCATTGACGATTAAGAGACGCCCACTCCTTTGTTCATCAAGAACATTCATTCTGTCAGCTTTATACTCATGACACCACTTGTACACATTAGTATAACCATTACACCATCCCCATAAACAGTTTTGATTTTGTTAAAAATCGAGAACCGCACCTTTCCCTTTGCAGGAAGAAACTAAATTACGCTCCTCACCTCGCAGCTGGCGGAATTCGGAATAGCAGCTCTCATTTCAGCATGTCACTACAGCAACAGTTATCAACTGACTGAGACTGAGACAAATGAGCGTGTGTTCTGCTCCCAACACTTTAACGAATGCAGTTGCCAACATTGTCGAAAACAAAAACCGCAAAACATCAGAGTTTCAGTATTCCTACTTTGTGGATATGACTATTAATTTTAATGGCATTGAATTGATCAACGGTAATTATAGAAACATATTTAATATGGATGACAATGCTTTTTCAAAAATTAACAAAAATAAATATGGAGCTATCTTTAATTAAAATTGCTTTTCTAAAAAAAACTAAAAAAAACAAATTTTTTGTTGTACATTTGAAAAATAATTTTAAAATTTATTTTTTCGATTCTTAACAAAGTAAAGTATTTAACCACACTAATGTGCCACTGTGTACATTCTTAATAATAAAGGATTACCTGCTAGAAATAGACTGTGAGTGGTTTTTCCTTCAGGAACTTTGTCGGATCTTTCGGCAGGTTGAAGACCAAGAAACTGTACAATGTTTTTCACAGCTTCATCCAAAGTATTCATAGAACTTAAGGAGTAAGTATCTTCCATTTCTATGAAAGATACGGCTTCTTCCCAGGCTGCGGCCCAATTCACTTTATTTATCTTTTGAATCTGATCGGCGAGAGTTATTTCCAAGTCTTCCAGCATATACTCGTCGTCATAACCTATAATTAAAAGAAAAGTGTCGCGTTTATGTTATAATTTCATTATAACATACAGGAACAATCATTTATATTTTCTTATTTCTACATGTCACAGTTAAACATCATCTAATACAAAATTAACAATAATTAAAACGTAACAGTTTTAAAAAATATATTTTCACTCAAAATAGTACAGAGAATGAAAAAATATTAATAGATAACACATCGGTCAGAAAGTCTCAGGACTAACCCACAGATGGCGCCACACTAGTAGTAGTACTAGTACTAGTCCTCAAAAGAAACGTGTCAAAGTTTCATGACATTTTGACAATTATTTATCGAGATATTGAAGTTTTAGTGAAGGTACTTTCAACATTTTTAAAACAATTGACAAAACCGAATTTCGTGTGTTAATTAAACAATACTTTTTGATGGGCAAAAATACCGTTCAAGCTCAGCTATGGTTTGAAAAGTGTGATAAGGAATCTGCTCTGTCAGAAACTAACTATTTGTCGGTGGTTTGCTGAATTTGAACAGGGTCGCACGGACACCGATGATGCTGGACGTTCATGACGTTCAAATGGAGTCACTACACCAGAAAACATAAAAAAATCCTCAAAATTGTATAGTACAATCGTTAAGCGAAGTTGCGAAAGATAGCTGACATCCTAAAGATATCAAAAGGTAGTGCATACTGTGTCATGCAACTTTACAGTCGTCTTACACAATTTTGAGAATGTTTTCTGGTGTTATTTGGACATCTCGAGCATTTAGCATCATTAATGTCCTTATGGCCCCATTTAAACTCAGCAAACCACTAACAAATGGTTGTTTTCGACAGAGCAGATTCCTTATAACACTTTTCAAGCCATTGCTGAGCTTGAACAATAAAAGAACCACAGAGTATCAACCAGAGATCCGAGTTGATAGGGAAAAGTTGTCTCTGTTTTTTATCTTTCTCTGAACCTTATTAAACGCAATACTTCTCTCTTTGTCGCTTTAAATGTAAAACAGAGGTAGGTGGAGCTAGAGCTCGTTCTCGGTATAGAAGAAATTTGAAATGGGTTTGGGAAATAATAATGTTTCTGATACAATTTGGTAGGTGGCGCTAGGTGGAAAATATTGATGATTAAATTTTTTGAATTTTATAAAATTCGACAGATGGCCAGATAAGAAAACGAGAAGTTGATAAATTCAAGATACGTTCAGTAAAACCTATATGATTTACAGAAATTAGTTAAATAGCAATGAATATAATATTAACATTATGACGATCGCATTTTATATAACCTACGCATAGGTTGCAGGTAAGTACGTAAGTAAGTAGTTTATATATAGCGTTGATATTTGTGTTGTATAGTATTTTTTCAGTGCCCGTTATTGTATTGACTGTTAATTTAATGTTTAAGTGTGTTTTTTGCGTGAGAAACTTTTGGTTTTTCAATTTTTTTGACACTTGTGACAATGACATTATATTGTATTATTTGTGGATATTCCGAAGAAGATGTGAAAAAATTATTCTGTTTTCCACGAAACTCAGAGAAGTGAGAATTATGCATAATTTTTATTTTGACAAATATACATATATGTATATTCTTCCTTGATGATATAAGTAAACTTGTTACTATAAATATGCGAAAAAAAATCTCATCAGTAATCGAAAAATATATGATAATTTTACTACTGAAAAAAATATCTATCTGTTATAAATTATAAAATATGATAATTATTTACTACAGCGTAAAACTCTCAAATCATAATAAAAATATATTCCACTAATATATAAAAGAGTTATTATATTTATATCTTATTTAGGTATGTCTAATATGTCGGTATATATAATTTATTGTATTATATTTTAGATCCAAAATCTGGCAAAAATCCCTTGGTATGATATATCAGGAAAAATTATCTGCACATATACGACATTGTGATAAGCATTTTGAAAAAAAAAAATCTTTTAGCTACATATAAAAGTTAAATATATTGATAATAATATAACTCAGTGTATTATTTTTACCATGTCTAAATAAAAAATTTAAAAAGAAAAAAACATGCTTACATGTTACTGTACAAGATTTTACGCAAATTTTTGTATAAAGTAGGTTGAGATATTTCCAACCTGATACTTTATATAAAATTTTGCAGAAAATCTTGTATACTGGTAATAGGATTTAAAGAATATTTCAAAATTCCCGCTATGTGGCATACCGCGCCATCTACGTAGGTTTTACATTAAGAGCGAGAGAGTAAAGTGATATAGCTCTGTCTCTTGAACTACAATTACACGTTCACTTGGTCATCTGGTTGGTAATCTGTGAAAAGAACATTGTTTAATCAACATACGAAATTTGGTTTTGTCCATTGTTTTGAAAATATCACTAAAACTTTGATATCTCGATAAATAATGGTCCAAATGTCAAGAAATTTTGATACGTTTCTTTTGAAGGTTAGTACTGCCTAACACACATGGATTTTTAATCTGTGGTGCCATCTGTGGATTAGTCCCAGCACTTTTTGGCCGATGTGTTAGATAAAAATAGTTATTACCTTCATCGGTATCAGGCAATCCAGTTGTGGGATCACAATCCTTCACTATAAACTTAAGAACAGCCCCAAAAGTGCCAATACTGTTTGGTAAGTCGTTTTCTGGGAATTTCAATAACACGTAAGTGGTACCGGTCTCGTTATACGGTAACTTTGGACAAGGAACCTCGTCCAAAATCTGGTACCCCTCGCTAGGTTCTAGTTGCACCCTAACGTTCTCAAGCAACTGATCGCTTAAAGTATTCAAGCAATCGAACTGCAAAACAACATGATTCGTGTAGCAGTGTTTGATGCATCTCACAAAATATTCCGTTTCCGATTCTGTGAGCTCCACCACCTCGGAACTGCGGAATAGAGGACCCAGTGCTTGTATGCCGGGTATATTGCTTAATTTCTCTGCAAAATTCTCTTCTCGGGAAACTGGAGGTAGTTTTGCTGGGCCCTGACTGACCAGCATTCCTTCCGATTTGTGTTTCACCTCCCGGTCTTCTGAGCTCGGGACAGCAGCCACCGGGACCGATTTAATATCGAATGGCTCAATGGTCTGGCCTTGAATGTATTCTTTGAGTGATCTTTCTAATGATGGTATTGATACCTATGGCGATACAAGTTAATTTAGGGAAGTTATTGTTTCTTGCATATCTAACTAATCCCAGAAAATTTAAACTTATAACTTTCTCTTTCAAATTATTAAGTGTTTGGAGATTACATGATGATTAACAAGTATATCTAGAGAAATGTGTTTTTCTTGAAAGAGACCAAACTCAAATTTAGCACGTTTTAATTATAATTACAGGGTAGTCCGAATTTTATGCAGGAAACTTCAAGGCTATTAAAATATTAAGTTTTTGCTTTATGAACATAGCTCTGGAAGGACTTTATTTTAGAGGTACACGGTGTTGAAGTTGTGAAAAAATTTTTTGGTATAAGAAACGTATGATAGCAGGACTTGTGCTTTTTAAAATATGAGCTCTAAAATTCCAACCAGTGGCATACAACTAGACAAAAGAAATATGACCGTATAGGAAATTAAATTTTAAATTGAGTTGCTTGTTCTTTAAACTTGATCCAAAATGGCGAACATGGTTAAAAAAAATCACAAAGTTGCAAAAAACTGTTTTTCTAAAATAACTAAAAAAATATAGCACCGATTGAAAAATTTGTTGTAGGTTTTAAAAAGATCTATCGACTGATTTTTGTAAGTATCGATTGCTTTGTTACTTTTCGAAATATATTGAAAAAACCGTTAAAAATCTTCTCTTTTCTCTTCTATAACTCGTTTACATTTACGTTCCCATACTTGCTATTTACTACAAGTTTATATCGATTTTTTGAAAAAAAAAGCGCTCTTGAAAATTGGCTAGATCTTCTCAGCGGATAGCCCTACAGTAACGATTTTCGGTTTATTTTCTTCGTAAAGTTATTTGCTGTTAAAAAATGTTGACGATTGTATTAATTTTAAGGATAAAAAAATAACTGAAAAAGATGCACTTTTTTTGGGTATGTTTTTTTCAAATAACTATTTCAATTTTTATTTTATGAAAATGACTTAAAGAAACTGCTTACATTTTTTCACGAATTTTAAAAAAATGTTTTTCTACGACCTTCTGGAGCCGAGATAATTTTTTTATTTAAAAAAAATTTTGAGGACGCAATTAACATTTTACAGTGATGCGTTTGAAACATCGAAATAGACGAAGACTCTCTTGATGCTTTCGACAAACTTCTCGACGAAATTGTTGTTTGAGTCACAATGTGAAAATGTTGACGATTATTCTCTTGATGCTTTCAACATACTTCTCGAAAATATGGAAGTCGAACAAGAAAATAAATCAAAAGACAATCCGACAGAAAAGAAGTATTTCATTCGATAAAAATAATTTTATCAATATAGGATACTTGTTAGTTTTCATTGTAATAATTTTATACATAGTTGTATTATTAAATATTTTTGTAAATAAATTAAATTCTTTAAACTTATTTTACACCAAAATTAATTAATTATTGAAATAATGAAGTAACTGTTAAAAAGCGAGCAACAAGTATAACGTCAGTATGATTAATGAAGCAAAAAAATTAAGGTATTACATGAAAAATACTGAAATAAAATTAAAATGACGTAAATGTAAATTAAATAAAAACTAAACATTTATGGAACTATAATATTCGTGTTTATCTCGTCAAGCTACCCCAGATTAATTACAAATGAATTTTTGTATGCGATCCAGAAGCCGAGATTTCAAAGATTTTGCAAGCACGAGTCATTTAGAATGCACGTCATCAGTTTTCAGAGCGAGCGCGCGCCGCTTCCCTCTACTTCTCCGTCCAGTCCAGCTGACGCACTCAGCGCTTGCACGATTCAGTTTATTACTCAATTACTAATACTAAAAATCAATTAAACGTATCCTATTTTTTTTTTTGAAAATATAAGTATTCAAGATTAACCTCCATGAAGCGCATCACTATAAATTATTAATTGCGTCCTCAATTTCAGCAGTTTCTTTCTTTAAAAGTCATTTTCATAAAATAAAAATTCAAAGTAATTTTTTGATCCCTAAAATTAATAAAATCGTCAATATTTTTTAACAGCATAATAATTCTTTATGAAGAAAATAAACTGAAAATTGTTACTGTAGGGCTATCTGCTGAGAAGATCTAGCCAATTTTCGAGAGCGCCTTTTTTTCAAAAAATCGATATATCTCGAAAAATAATTCATATTTTTTAATTTTTCATATATGTACTTTTTTGGCTTGCCGCGGGCTATGCTTGCAGTAAATAGCAAGTAAGGGAATGTAAATGTAAACAAGTTATAGAAGAAGAGAAAAGAGAAGATTTTTTTCAATATATCTCGAAAAATAATAAAGCAATCGATACTTACAAAAAATCAGTCGATAGATCTTTTTAAAATCTTCAACTTTCTCAATTAAAATTTTTCAATCGGTGCTATATTTTTTTAGTTATTTTAGAAAAACCGTTTTTTGCAACTGCGATTTTTTTTAACCATGTTCGCCATTTTGGATCAAGTTTAAAGAACAAGAAACTCAATTTAAAATTTAATTTCATATACGGTCATATTTTTTTTGCCCAGGTAATAATTTCTGTAAGCATTTCTCTATAATGTTTGGACTAGTGTGTAATGCACAAAAAACAAAATGGTATTTTGTATTTTTCTCTTAACAACAATTGCCACAACTGTAAATATGAATAAATTACTATATAAATAATTGTCTTACCTGAAGTGTCTCCAAAATATAATTGTTATAGAGGCTTTTGTCTTTAGTGTCCAATATATTGCTGTAGTAAGTTGCACGGTCTCTGACCTCATCATCCGAATCCATCTGGCACCGAGCAAGCAATACCTGAATGTTCTCTAAGAGATCTGGACAGGCTGCACCAAATTGAGCCATTGCAGACACTGCAGCAGCTCTAATAGACGGACACTCTAAGATCACACGATTATATATAAATCGAATATACCTATAAATTAAAAGTAATGTAACTATTGTATCAATAAAAATTAAGATGTAATTTTTAGAATATTTATACTAGAAACTTTTTGTTTTTCTAAGTCGTTAATTCAATATTTGAAACGCTGTGCCAAATGGAACCTACATTACATCCCGTGTTATCAGCATCTTTTTCAAAAACTCAGAAACCAAATGATGTTTCTTTTCGCAAAAAATTTACATTAAATTTCAGAATACTTGCCAAAATTTCAAGTAAAAGTTTTAAAGAAATCAATTCACAATCATCAATGTGATTAAAACAATGTTAAAATTAGGTACATTTTTTCCATATTTTATAATTACTAAAACTGATACTTCTATTTTCATAAAATTTCACAACAATATATAGAACCTACCTTGAAGGTTGTTTGGTTTTTGGCCCTTCTTTCCCAAGCAAATGCAGAATTCTTACGGCTAATGACACGTGTTCGCAGTCCTCTATGAATTCGCAAAGATGAGCAAGTCCCGTTTCTTTTGCCTCGGGATTGTCTTCAATTATCGTTATAATCGTGTCTGCTATAGAAGCTTTGTACTCCAAACCGCCTTCATCTCTTAACATGGCAGATAGAAAATTCATGAGCACACTGTGTTTTCGAGGGAATTTCAACGCTAACGCTCTGATAGCTTGAACAACTACCACTTTAAATTCATCACTTATTTCAGATACAAATGTGGCTATTTGTTTCATTAATCTATCCACAGATGACTCAGCACCTAAAACAGAGTCCATCTATAATGTTTGACTTTCCCTTTAGTTGAATAAATAACCTGTCTTCAATAGAGTTGTAATTGCCAGCGTAGCGATAGACCTATTAGAATCTGTAATTAAGTTCTCTAGATCCAAATTGCAGGCAGTTACTGCTGCAGGATGCGATATGGCCACTTGGTTCAAAGTTCTGACTGCCGCAAACCTAAGAGTAGGTTTAGGGGATCCGCAGAGCAATTGAAGGACACTGATGGCTGGAGCCAATTCTCTGCTAGTAGTACGTTTTAGGTTTACTATAGCATGAGCGGCCTCGTACACTACCATTTCTGATTTGTGACGTAAGCAAGACTCGATGAATTCAAAGTATGGGGAATCATTGGTTGCATCATCTTCCTCCAGCAATTTGGCAGTTATACGGATCTATGAAGAGAAAAAGTCAAGTTTTGATAATTTAATATCTTTTAATTTGACTGAATTTTTTCACTCACCAACATACAAACTGCATAAGGCGATTTCAAGGACATTCGAGTTAGTTTTGCAACTAATTTTGTAACTGCTAAACGATCGGTTTTTCTTATATGATACAAAAGACCCAAAGCATGATATTGAACCATGATACTAAAAAATTAAATATTAAGATTATGCAATTCAAACTCCTATAAATATATGCCCTAAAATGTTTAATTTTTGAGACCAGTGTTCAAAATTACGAAAAGATATGATTAAATTGCTATGAATAGTTGAGGGAAACCATGCTTTGTATAAGTATAAATTCTCTCCTGTTCTTACCTTTAATTGATTTTGCATTTAAACAGTTTAAAGAAATAACAAAGTCTTATATCATTCATGAATAACGTGATTACTAGAAGTATTATGATCACTATTTCAATAATAATTATACTGTTATTTATCTCTATAATGATGCAGCAAGAAGCAACTGTTGTAAAGACTGGCAGTAGTTCAACAGTCGCATCAAAAATTTAATCCTATCAAAAAATTCTAAGTGAAAATTACCTCCAAAATGTAAAAAAATATGGCATTACATTTGTTTGAAAATAATCAAAAATTAAAGCTACATTCCAAATTTAAATAAAATTATTAGAATTAAAACCACTTATCCTGAAAATGATTAATTTATGGACGCTTTTAACTAACTTGTGATATCGATAATTTACAATAAACACATTTAAAAAAAACCTTGAGTAGTAAATATTAATTAAATTTTTACTTACTTGTCACTATTTACAGCTTCTTGAGCTTCATTCACCCATCTCTTTACTACTTCTGGAGCCAGTTTTGTCAAATGTAGTGAGCTGACAAGAGCAGCAGAGCTTACTGCTGAATTACGGTCAACAATTGCCTGTTTCATGTAACGTTCAATAGCTTGCAGCATGGTTGCATCAGTAATACTGCACAACGCTCTGATAGCTGCAGCTCTGTACATATCTTCTTTTCCCGTCATATCCTTTGTTAAACTGGACGTTACAATGATCACATCATCGGCAACTGAACTCAATTCTTTGATACCCAAGTATACCATTCGCCTCAAGATCACATCTTTAGATTGGAACAGTTTTGTCATTGCAAAAAATACATCTGTAGCTTCTTTTACGCTTAAAGTTTCTCCCTTGAAATCAAATGACATATATAACTGTGGACATACCATGATATAAACTAACCTGGTTTAATAGATATAATAATTTGGTAAGGACTGGAGTACATTTTCTTGGATTTACCGAGGTTTCATTAAATATTCTCGCCTCTTGCAGAACCGTAGTTCTCTCAATATTTTGAAATGGATTACCTCCTCCTGCAATTGGACTTTTAGCTTAAATTTTATTATAGTTATAAATAAAGTAACTTACCGTCTTCCTCTTCTTTTTTATCTCTCTTAAAAGAACTCATTGCGAGAATTTAATAGACAATAATTTTAATATTTAATAAAACCGTGTATGTTGTTTTTTAACTTACACGTCACTCTGCCCGGTTGTCAACTCAAATATTAGGGATTAACTAAACTTCAGGGGTCAGGGTAGCCAACAAATGTTCATAAAATTCCTCAAAAAATAAATTATAAACCTCAAATTTCTTATTTGAGATTTTAGGTTTAACAATTTATTTTTCATAACATTTTAGATCCCACATCCCACACTTATGTCATATAATGGTTAGTGTAGCTTATAAACGTAATGTATAATTATTGAAAAGCAATGAACATTAATAAAGAGAGTTTGGTTATTTTGTTAGTTTGATGTTGATGATTTTATCATACTCGTGTGTGTAGTCTGCATGCTCGTGAACTTAAAGCATATACTACTGGAGGAAATATGTCAAATAACAATTTAGACATGATAGATGTAGATGAACATATTAGTCCCGTAGTGGTACATCATATAGGTACCACTTTTCACGTTTATTTGTAAAATTATTGCATGTAGATAGTGATAGAGGTTAGATGGTTAGATTAGATCGGTTTTTGACTAGGTGCTTACGAAAATAGTCAATTTAAAAGACTCTGACCAGAGTAAGCAGCGCTCGGATCAGTTGGTCAGATATATTTTTCGTAAACCCCTTTTATGATTTATCCAGAATGAACCACAGATTCACAGATTTAGCCTAACTAAACGTCAATTTAATTCATTTGTTGACCGCTTGGTGGAGTGTCATCTCAGCCGTATACTTTGCGTGCTGAGAACACAAAATGTCATTTGAAAATAAAGGTGAGATGTCCCGGGTTTTTAAGCTAGCACAAAAATTTAACTGTTTTTATTTGACAGGTGAGCCACTTTATCTAAAAATACTTATTTCGAAAAGTTATCATGATATCTTTCATTGAAGATTAAAAAATAATGTATTAACTTTTGATTAGATAATATTGATCTCTGTTACACCCATTAATATTTTCAAAAATATTTACATTTATTTATCTTCACAGGTTTAAAATCAACTGATTATAAACCGTTTGTCGTGGAAGGATTTCAAGTAGGACTTATAAGACAAGATGTTATGAAACAATTATTAAAATATCCTGAGGTAAAAATTAGGCATACCATTTCTTTAAAACAATATTAATCTCAATTTTTCAAGGTTTTCCATGTATCCTCAGGCTGTGTTGAATTAAATCCTGCTTTTAGAGATTATGAAGAAAGAAGTAACCAAGTGGATAAAGTATTAAAAGAGCTGAGAGCTGAAAATGCTCTCATTGCTCTAAAAGGTTGGAGAGATGAGGTGAGATTATCAAAGGTTACATATGTATCTAATAGACATTATTGATTGATAGCAAATTATTTATTGCAGTAAATATATTTTAACTTACAATTGTATCTTGGAAATTAATTACACGCATTGTATGGGATTAAAATATTATTTTGATGATTTTAGGTTATTTTTGTAAACTGTTAATAATTTATGTTTTTTATAGTGTTATAATGTTAAAACAGAATTCAATTCCAAGAGTTTCTTAAAGATGGATAGGTCAGCCACTTGCCTATTTGGAATCAGAAATTATGGTGTAGATATTAATGGTTATATTAAGCACCCAATAAAAGGATTATGTTTATGGTTTCAAAAACGATCACCTACGAAGCAAACTTGGCCTGGTAAGTAACAAAGTGTTTAATAATTTGGATTCTTAAATTATCAGCTTTCTTTCTAATCTTGGGGTTAATATATCAAATAGGTAGTGTTAATTTATAATTTTATTATTCTCTTGAGTAAGCGAGATTATACTACTGCCGTAGCTATTAAAATATTTGAAAACATTTTCTTGTTAGACCACTCAACACAAAACCAATTTTTGCAAGTTCTTTACTACCAGTGGCAGTTAGTGAAAATTATAGTAGTCATATTTTGATATCGAAGCATAGGGCCTATACTATTTTTCAAAGAGATGATATAAAAAACTTTCATGATGCAAAATTTCAAACGAAAACATCTGTAAAATAAAAATTTAAAATAGGGATTGCCTCACTTAAGATCTTGGAAAGGTTACAAATTCTGCATATCTGCAAAATAATTTTTTTGTTCAATTTAATTGACTGGGTTTTATCAAATGTTAATTTTCTTTTAGTTATACCTAATCAAATTTTAATTTGATATATATATTTTCCACATTTTCCTACTTTTTAATATCATAAGGTTTTATTTCACTCATTTCAAAGTTTTCATCGTGAAAGCCATAAAATATTACTATTTTCATCGACAACCATTATTCATTACAAATACGAGTTTCCTTGTCTATTATGTACTTATCTTTATAATTAGTAATTTATATATAGACAGATATTTTAATGACCGGAATGAAATATTTTATTGCGATAAATAGACTTTGATAAGAAAGATAATTGTCAAATTTTGATTTAAATTTATATCGTAGACTCATTAAGTGAAATGACATTGTATTGTTTGAATTATGTCAATGAACTTTTAAGTGTTTTTGACTGGACTTTTTTTATATCTCATAAAAAAGTTGAAAATTTAACATTTTGACACCCTTAAGGTCCAAAAAAAATTTATAAAGAGGTCTATGAACTATCAAAAGGTTATGCTACGACATTGGAAATATTTATATTATTGTGAAAAATTTGATGTATTCGTAATTATTATATGCATTAGTAATTATCTTTATTAGTTCTTGAGCTTAATTACAAATATTTATCTTGCACAAAACGGTTTATTCATTTCTAATTTTGGTTAACTTTTTATTTTGTATTAAGTTCAATGTAAAAAAAATAAGTAATAATAGACCTATTTTTAAATAAACTATTAATAATCGATATTGAATTTGTTGCACTTTATATATTTTACTTTCAGTTTTAATAAAATTAAAATTATTTGAGTATCATTAAAATTATTTGAGTATCATAAAAATGTGGCCGTGCTAGAAATTTGGAAAATCATTATTTTTCTTTAAAGGTAAATGGGATAACATGGTTGGGGGAGGGATATCGGTTGGTCAAGGAATTTTAGAGACAGTGCATAAAGAAGCTATGGAAGAAGCCTCTGTTCCAAAACATTTATTGAAAAATTTGATAAGTGCTGGCTGTGTTTCGTAAGTTTAAATTTTTTTTTTTTCATCTTTTAGCACAAACCTGTTTTAAAGATATATTTAGGATATCTGGTGGGCTATATTCCAAGGATTTACGGTTCTGGCGATGTCTAGCCGTAGGACGTTCGAGCGATGTCTATGTATGTTACAAATCAAGATACCCTCCAGATATCTTACTGTATGTCGCAGAGACATGCTATCTTCAGGACAACCTGAAGATGTTTGAATCTTGACAGATGTATATCCCATAAATATATGGTTAGCTATTTTGAGAGATATAAGGGATTTTTACTTTGTTGTAAAAGTATTAAGCAAATTAAAAAAAATTCAAAATATTTAGTTATGCTAAAGATATCTAACCTCAAAGACATGACATGACTCTCATCTCAACTGATGATATTGCGTGAAACAACTGGAATTGGTATTGAATTGAAACAAGATTTTTATGCATTTATTTAATAATTTCAGCAAATAAAAACTAAAACATTTCTTAAAATTTGTCATTACAATTGCAGTCACATTTTCTTACATTAAGTGCTGAAAATGACTCGACCTTAATGCAGCGTCATCATCAAATTACGAACTCTCTTGAAAATATCTGGTGTAATTTTGATTATTACACATGAATTAACTATTCTAGTCTGTAAGTCTTCCTCATTCTAAATAGGAGTTTTGTACATGTGTCCCCATAAAAAGAAATACAAAGAATTCAAATCGAATGACCGAGGAGTACATTGTCACGGGCCTGCTCTCCCAACCCAATCATTATGGTAATAATTTTGATCCAAAAATTAATGCGTAGACTGAAATATGGTCGAGTGCCATCATGCACATACCACATACAGCTTCTTTATCTTAGTGGAATTTCCTCTAAAAATTCAGGTAGAATGTACTCTAAAAACATTTAGTATTGTTCTCCATTAAATCCAAGTAGAAGAAAATGAGGCAACACAAATATTGACAGAAGACTTTTAATTTTTTTTTCAAACTAACACCCTATATATGGAAAACAGAGCTGTTGCGAACTTATGATCATGTGAATTTTTTTTGTCGTCTTACAATCAAAGATCCATTTCTTAAAGTTTGTGCACGTAATTAAATTAACATTCCATGTTGTTAAATTGGCAAAACCAACATAGGCCAATAGTAGTGGCTAGTCGTTTATGAGTAGATCGACAATATGTCAGACCTAATTGTAATGAAAGCTAATGCAAATATCATACTAATACAAAAAATAGCATAAAGATATTTAAATTTTTTTCAGTATTTCATCAGAATATTTTACTGTTCAGGCTTGCATAGTTCTGTTATTTTTGTTCCAGATTTTATTTTGAATCGGAAAGGGGTCTGTTTCCAAACACAGAGTTTGTTTTTGATTTAGAACTTCCTCTTGATTATATACCTGAAAATGCAGACGGAGAAGTGGAAACCTTCGAATTACTCAGTGCAACAGATTGTATAGATAAAATATTAAGCTCCGATTTCAAAACAACGAGTGTACCCATAGTTTTAGACTTTCTGATCAGACATGGTATAATTACTCCCGAAAATGGTAAGTAATAAGATTTTTCTTTAGTTTAAATTTTATTTATTTTAAATATTTATTGAATAGATGATAGAAATTTAGAAGTTTTTTAAATTTTAATCATGAAACTAATTCTTTTTTAAGATATTCTTTGATAAAAAATTAAAGTAATTTATAAATTTTTTTTTTTCGTAGAGAAAGACTACCTGAAGATAGTAGAACTTCTACATGTACCTTTGCAATCCATTTATAAGAGACATGTAGACAAGAATATCAACGATATTAAAGAAAATGGTACATCAGCGATTTTGCAAAATATATAATTTCATTTTTAATAGTAATTAGATTTTTCATTTCTTATTGTAGGAGATACATCTGAGCCTTAAAAGTTATTTTCTAAAAATAATATATTTTAGCATCACTTTATATAACTTTGGAGAGCTTGAAGGTCATGTGAATATTCCAATGTATTTGTTGGTAAACATTTTATACTGGGTAGTGCTAGACGACAGTTGTATATATTTAGATGTTTTATTTATTTTTTTTGTTATCTGAGTTGTAAGGTTTTGAACCAATGCAAATTCTTACGTATTGTGATACTTTGTTCTATATAATATTTATTATATATACATACAAGAAATAAAATTCCATTCTAGTTAAATATGTTACATATTGTTCACACTGATTCTTGAACTCGGTAAATATCATGTCAGGTAAATATCATCAGCCAGCTGAGACTTTAAAATTTGTAAGATCCTTGCGATCTGAGAGATTATTAGTATACATCTTTTCTAAGAGAATCCTCAAAGGTCGCATCTTTGCTTGTCGCTACACCTTTGTTTGGCACAATGTCATCTGTATTTGCCACAACGTCGTCTGTATTTGCCACTATGTCGTCCTTGTTTGGCACAACGCCATCTGTATTTGCCACTACATCAACTTTCGCATTTCGTGCCGATAATCTGGAAATAGCTCAGTTAAACATATTGAAATTTTAAATTTACATTTTTTAGACCTTGACTTAATTTTCAAACAAATAAACAGAAATATTAGTGGAAACGGTGTTAATATAGCCACAGAAACTGGAGCAACTAAAAAATAAAATATTTATATTTAGCATCTACATATTTGTTTACTTACTCGTAGTTAGATCAGCTTGTGGTTGTGGAAGTGCGAATCTAAGTAGAAATATCGATATACCAGTATTCTGAATTCCAATTTCTACTGCAATTGTTATACAATCTGGTGTAGGTTGTCTAAATAACTTTCCAGCCAAAAATCCTAATACATAAGCCAACCACGGCAATGCCATACCAGCTACGATAATCTAAAAGAAAAGTTTAAACCACATTTTAAAGTGAATATTTTTGATATCCAGTGCATGTAATTTATCGTTTTAAATTTTTATACTTTTTTTATTACTAGTCCGTAACGACTTTTTAAAAGAGACTTAAGACATTTTAAGAAATAATTTATGTTTTTACTACTGCTAATTGCAAATACAGGCTTTTACAAATTCGCTTCTCACTACAGGGATCTCGAAAACGGTAAGAGTTACGAACTAGCTTAAATGGAGGCAAAGTTGCGCAATCAGTAGACCAACATTATGGCTCTAAAAAATCAAGGCGAACTAACATGATTCGTTTTCGAAATATTTGAAAAACAAACAAAATTTTGGAAATCCGATTTTGATTCATATCAGCCTTGTTTGAGGTGATATTGAAAAAAGAAGAACACTCTCATGGGCCAACTTTTTACCCTCTATCGAATGGCATGATTAATTTTTATGTATAACATTTCGTCTTTCCAGGACCATCTTCATTTTTTAAAAATACTACCCTGGAAATTTCATTACATTTTTTGCAAGCTTTCTTGACCCTCAATACTGACCTTTCATGACCCTCATGGCCTCAGCCCGAACCATATTCAAAGGTTTTGTCTCAAAAAATTCATCTTCAGTGTATTCGTTCCAAATTTATCTAAATTTTTAATTTAGATTTCTGTTTATTGAATTATCATACACTGTAAGTGTCGTTAGACCCTGTAAAATCCATCTAGTTATTTAAACTACTACCACCAGGCGTTACAATAAAACATTTATTATTATTAACTATTACCATCACCTGGTCATACATAAGTCGATAAGTTGTTGCATCAAAATTGAAACATCATTACAATTTTAATTTTATTATGACAAATTAATTCTTAAAAATGCATATGAACCACCAAAACTCCAAATGAATATTATAATTTAAAAAATTTCAGTAAATGTTCAAAAACATTTCTGTTTTAGCAAAGGTTGAAAATGAAGATCAACGTAATATTATCGGAATTTATTATATGTACCTGTAACCGCAACTGTGAAAGAGCATGTCAGATGTATTTGTATGAATATCCTGAAAAAAATTATATTGAATTTTGAGCACTCGGGAAGCCTTGAACTATGGGCAAGGGATTAAAACTATAATAACATTTTATTGTAATGCATGGTGGTAATAGTTTAAATAACTATATAGATGGATTTTGCAGGGTCTAACGACACCTAGAGTGTACGAGAGTACGATAATTCAATAAACATAGAAATCTAAATAAAAATTTTAGATTTTGAAATGAATACTCTGAAGATAAATTTTTTGAGTCAAAACATCTGAATTTGGTTCGGGTTGAGGCAGTACAGTATTGGGGGTCATGAAGGCTTGCAGAAAAAGTAATAAAATTTCCAGGGTCGTATTTAAAAAAATTAAGTTGGTGATGGTCCTGGAAAGACGAAACATTACATATAAAAATTGATTATGCCATTCGCAACAGAGCAAAAAGCTACCATGAGAAAGTGTTCTTCTTTTTTCAATATCACCTCAAATAAGGCTGAAATGAAACAAACGGATTTCCAAAACTTCGTTTTTTTTTAAATATTTCCAAAACTAATCATGTTAGCCGTGATTTTTTAGAGGCATAATGTTGTTACCTTGATTACACAACTTTGCTCCTATTTAAGCTAGTTTGTATCTCTTACCATTTTCGAGGTCCCTGTAGTGAGAAGCGAATTTGTAACAGCTTGTATATAATTAGCAGTTATTTATTTTGATTTCATAACTAAATATGGGCCACCTTTCCATATCAATGTTGTCTATTTATAGGCCACCAAAAATGCAGTGTAGTCGACACTACTCTAAGGATCTTAAGGTAGTTATCACCTAAATGAACACTATTCAACATAAACATGAAACTTTCAGCATAATTAATTATGCACCTGATAAAACCTTTTCGTTTCAATTTTCATTTTAAGGAACTAATAAAATAAACAATAAGGGAGATTCCTGCAATTTTTTTTAAAAATGTACTAAACGATTTTAATGCATCCACTATATTTAACACTAACCTAACGTAACCTTATGCCCTGTAAATATGTTTCCATGAATCTCTCTTGCACACAGCTGCTCTCTGTGTGATGTTGCCAGTTTTCGTACCTACGTGACTCAAATATGAGACTTGCTCGAAAGTTAACTACCTTAAATACATAAAGGCTACAGGGTTCATGTTCACTGTGACTTCTGCGCACTAGTCTTATATTGTTCTAAATATCGAAATCATCCCTTTGTAAGATCGAGATCGGATTCTGCTTAGATTTACACTGTGCAAAGTACTGTATATCATTTTGTTGCAGGTAAATTAACTGTTTTAATAACTAACATAAATTAGGTTTTTTTACAAACATCGTACATCGTAGTGGTACATAATTATCATAGTAAGATGGATAACCCTTTAATGTTCGACCAGCTGCTGTAGAGATCACAGCATAATTTAATGTTTTGTAAAAATGTAATTTTTAATGTGATTGAAACTATCTAACGGTATGTTAGATAAAATTTTCTATTGACTGAGACAATTATTTTTTAATTATTTATATCAAGTTCTATTTAATTATGTATTTAAATTAAATTACATTAATTTTAGCGATAGCAGTCACTGACCAAAGTCGGTGATCATAAGCGAGTGGTCGTAATTAAAAATTAACATAGAACATTTATAGTATCCAGTTTCTCCCTATATTTCAAAAATCCAGTAAATCATTAATTATAGGTGCCTATAATTATATTTCTTTATTAAACATGATAAAAGGCAATATTTCGTGTAGTTAATTAATTTTTTTTAAATAAGGAACAAAGGTATGTAGGATGTGATTTTTCTAAAATCTGGTATGTAGGATGCACAACCAGAATGAGAAGGCAATTAGAATATGATATGAAATGCAAGAACAGTTTAAAAATATGTAATAAGCATAAAAAATAACCAATTCAAATATAATTTTTTAAATTTTGAAATGACTGACAAAAGAGGCCAGTTACACTATTCAATGTTACTGTTTTAGACATCAATAATTAATTTTATTCTCTATATTTATATATGATTATTGACTTGTTCATCAATAAAAATACTACTTTTTTACTACCTACCCAAGTCGTAAAACATAATTATTATTTATAACATTTCTCCTTTTATCTATTCAATTTTGTCTTGGGTTATGATCATGTCCTAAAGTTGCTTGTAAAAATGTATAATTTATTAATCACAAAAGGCAATATCTCTTAATTAATCTATATCTATCCTTTTCATACACACCAGCCATGAACTGCCACAGTTATTAGCTGTTGTACTTTAACTTTAAAAGTATTAAACTGATTTAGATTAATAGTAAATCTTTTACTAAATTCTTATTAAATGATTTCAAACATTAATACCACATATCTAGGTATGCTATGGAAATAACTCTGTAGGCAAGCTACTCATTACTACAGACTCTATACAAGACAGTGGCGACAATAGAGTTATCATTTTTAATTGGTCCACGTGATTTTAGCTACCATGTTGCATCCAGTGTCAAATTCATCTGTAATATGTCATGGGGTCAGGAGCGTTCTTATGGTGTTATTCAATATTTGTATTGTTTTATTTTAATTTTGATGATGATTACTAGCTAAGGGATAGTTATACTGTCTACAGAAGCTTCAAGAGGACGACGACTGTGAATTTCTTTCAGGCTCTTTGGATACCATAACAAAAAATATAAGACCTACTTATAAGGAAGTTAAGGTTCTTGCTAACATAGAAGAACTAAAATTTAATCTTGGTTTTAGTGAACTAAATTATCTTTATAATGTGTGCGGATATATTGCCCAAAGTATCGTTAAAACGTCAAAAACTTATACAAACTGTGTGCATGCTGTTGGTTATAAAACGCCGATCTATAAAACATGTTCAAAATTTAACGTACTTAAGAGATTTAGAGAACATTCAGTCTTTTTTTGCAATGAAGCGGTATTTGAATATGATTTTTCAAAGGATAATTATGTCTGTCGAAGCATTTCCGTGCTACAGATATTAAGGTAACAATAACTGGAAAACGATGTCTCACACATGGAGCTGTGCCTATTAATACAACATTTGGAAGGTAATATGTTTTAGCACAGNAGGCAATATCTCTTAATTAATATACATATATCTATCCTTTTCATACACACCGGCCATGAACTGCCACAGTTATTAGCTGTTGTACTTTAACTTTATAAGTATTAAACTGATCTACGTATGCTGTGGAAATAACTCCGTAGGCAAGCTACTCATTACTACAGTGACTCTATACAAGACAGTGGCGACAATAGAGTGTATCATTTTTAATTGGTCCACGTGATTTTAGCTGCCATGTTGCATCCAGTGTCAAATTCATCTGTAATATGTCATGGTGTCAGGAGCGTTCTTATGGTGTTATTCAATATTTGTATTGTTTTATTTTAATTTTGATGATGATTACTAGCTAAGGGATAGTTATAATGTCTGCAGAAGCTTCAAGAGGATGACGACCGTGAATTTCTTTCAGGCTCTTTGGATACCATAACAAAAAATATAAGACCTACTTATAAGGAAGTTAAGGTTCCTGCTAACATAGAAGAATTAAAATTTAATCTTAGTTTTAGTGAACTAAATTATCTTTATAATGTGTGCAGATATATTGCCCAAAGTATCGCTAAAATGTCAAAAACTTATACAAACTGTGTGCATGCCGTTGATTATAAAACGCCGATCTATAAAACATGTTCAAAATTTAGCGTACTTAAGAGATTTAGAGAACATTCAGTCTTTTTTTGCAATGAAGCGGTATTTTGTTTCTTCTTGCAAATGGAAAGTACTTTTACAAAATTGTTTGCGATTGTATCTTCACAAAACATACATTTAAAAGACGTTTCTTAAAAGAAATGTCTGGTTTAAATTTAGATCTACCAAATTGTCATCAGATCAAAAATAAAATTGTTAAAAGATTTATTATGTTCCGATTAAAAATAGCTTTCAAAAAATGCCAAAAAGCATGCAAAAAGCTTGCAAGTAAAAGTGTTGCTGGACATTTATTGTAACAAATACTATCACCAGTACTAAGTATTCGTTTTTGTTATGTAAACCCAATAAATTTCATTGTGTAATGTAGATATGCTTAAATTTACTTGCCTAGAAAATATAAACCAATAGTTATTATTATACATATATTTATCCCCTCCTATTGCGCAAGTAGGTTCTATATTCATTCATTATTTAAAATCACTTTCCAAGGGAGTTATTTGCTTAAAATCTGTGCATAAAATTTAAAAGAAAAATACTTTTGTACTTAATTTATTTTTTATAAAAGTTACTTTCAATTTGACATTGGATGCAACATGGCGGATGGGTGGGGTTTAGTCGCTATTGTCGCCACTGTCTTGTATATAGCCACTGTAGTCATTACTAATTAATAATTATCTAAAATAAATAATAATAATATTCCAAAAGTATTAATGAAAAAACTTATGACATTCCGCATCTTTTCAAGTGTAGCCCCCTTCCACACAGCCTCTACTTTTGGATTTGGGGGTTGTCTCATTTCTGTGGCGTTTTATGCGTTATGTTATATTGAAATCATTAAATAATGTTCCTCAGATAAATTATCTCCCATTCACTTTTCTAATAGTTATCACTTTGGACAAGAATCAACATGAAATTCAAATATTAATAAACTACACCAACTACGCTATTTTGTGTGGCTACCAATTCAGGTGTACAGTTAAGTTATACAAGTGTAGTCAGTTTTAAAATAATAATTCCCACACTTAAGGTATCCAGTCGCAAAAATCAGCAATTTTTGCACAGATAAATTATAGTTTTTGTTCTCTATATCCCTTCTATGGCTTCTGTTTCTACATGTCACTTATCTTTATAATAATTTTATTGTTTTCATGTCACATTTGAAATTTTTGTTGGAGCACTCAAATTAATACAAAAATTAAGATTATGTAAATGCCAGTCAATAGTATTTTTGATGTCATTAATACTAATTTTTTTTTGTTAAAATTAAACCAAAGTTTGCAGTGTTATAGCTTATGGCTTTTTTTTACGAGACCATCGGGCCATCTGGTACCACTGAAGGGCAACATATATTTGAAGTTAGAAGTCCAAAATTTTGTAGTAGTACTAGGAAACTCCCTTTTTTGTGGCCATTCAGAAAAGTTGGCCCTATACAATATGAAGTAAATACAAGTCTATATTTTCACTGCTAAAATATAATAGTATTGCAAGGCCTAAAAATGTTTTCCTACAATTTCATTTATTCAAAATTTGAACAGTATGATAAAAAATGAAATGACTGATTTTTGTCACCGTGCTATATCAAATAGAAAAACGTACATAGGATGAGCTTTCGGTCACAAAAAAATCTGTCTTCGAGATAGTTGACCATCTTTTCACAAATGTTTCAAAAGTTACTGTCAAAATAAGTTTTAACAAAAATTCATGGATTACTCTATCCACAAATTTTGACCTAGAATTTTTTTTTAAGTGGTCATTTCGTAGGTACTACCTAGGTTGCTTCTATATGCCAGTATGTATGAGAGTCATTCCCATTGCTTCTTCCCTAACTTTGCAGGCCAAAAATATTAATTTTCTTGTATTAGAAAATAGAATTTTTAACAGGAATAAATTCTTCACGTCAAATTTACCGAGATTTGGTGGATACATTGGGAAAATCTGCAGTATTATATGACATAGTTAGATGTAGTAACTGCTTGTGGTCGATTCATTTTAAAACAAGTACATATGTGACTTACTCAAATTCGTGGGTCTCTAGCAAACACAATACAGTTTTATCACTTTTTTAAAAAATGATATAGAATGCTTCTAGAACTCAGCTATGATAACACCATATTTTTCAATTATTTTTCATATATTCTGGTTGTAATTTAATCTCCAAATTAAAGCCGGAAAATTTGCCGCGAAAACATATTTGCGTGGTGTATTATGAGTTGCATAAAGCTTCACATTCCGTTACCATCAGTAATACACAGACCAATCAGACAACGGCATTTTTGACAGAACACCACAAAACACAATACAGTAAATAATACTAATTTTATCTAAATAGAGTAGATAATATTTATACTATACAAGTACAATGCAACAGTGCAACTGCACTTCCATTGCAGTAACATTTATCTGCGGGCCTTTCGATTTGGCAAAAATATTAGCTATTAGTAGCTAATAGCAACTTAATTACTCTGAACTGATATTAGTTGCTAGTAGATTCTATTTTGCTAAAACGAAAGCCCTTCTGAACGTAACTTAACCATAGAAAATATAATACTATATTTTCTATGAACTTAACTCGATGATGACGTAACAAAGTAGTATTGTCAATCTTTTTTCTGTTTTGTGATTGTCAACGTACGCGCGAGATCTTTTTTGGTCCGAATTGATTAAGATGGCTGCAACAAATAAATTTTATAAGTGGTGTTTCGTACCATCTTGTACAAATACTTCAATAAATAATCCAAATAAACATTTTATAACTGTACCAACGGACTATTCTAGAAAGTTGAAGTGGTTTAAAGCAGTTAGAAGAGATATGCCCAAATCACGAAGTAGTTTCTTATGTTGTGAAGATCACTTTAATGTAAGTAGCAGGTAATTTCATAATAATTTTTACAATATGCTTAAAACTCTTGTTGTATTATTTTAGTTAGAAGAAGACATGGAAAATTATGTGCGTTTCAAACTAATAGGTGGAAAAATCAAACTAAAGGAAGATGTGGTTCCACATATTTCTCAAGATCAACAATGTGGAAAGAGAGCTACAAGTACCTTTGAGGATTCTGCATTTATAAAACAACAAAGTCAAGATATAGTAAAAGATATTTTAGAGTCGACAACAGAATTAACACCTATGCAAGATGATGAAGCTCAAGCAAGCTCCAGCAATGTAAATAAACAAGAATTTGTTACATTTCAAACGGACCTAAAACCTGTAAAGAGTACAGCTATTAGGCAATGTGACCGGTCAACAGTGTTCGAACACCCAGAACAGACGATGGAGTCAAATTGGCCTTCTGCAAATGTTAGGTATAAAAGTGTAGGAGTACAAGCAAGCCCGAACTATTGTAGCAAACATACCCAATACAATTATAAAAAGAATATTGCACACACAGCTTCTTCCCCAATTAAAATCACAACATTCAGGCATCAAACTACATCTCCATTTGAAAAATTACTCAGTTCTGAAAAAATGGAATCTACCACTACAAGTAGTAGTAGTAGTAGTGAAACAGTTTCTTCATATGTACCAACATGAGACTATGAATTTGATGAAGGAATATTACGTTTAAATAGAAAAAAACAGCAGCATATTAGTGACACGTGACTTGCAATGTAGTAGTGTTAGTTTACCTATATATACAAACTTCTAATATTACCTGAAGATGAGTATTTTTTGGCTTGCAAACGGGTGACAGGTGAAACAACTTTTGTACAGTTTGTCATGAAGCCAGAACAGTTTAACGTATTTAAAGCTGAAAATAATTTAGTGTCAACTTACCCTCCATGAAAAAAGTTGAAACAAATACAAGTTTGTTACTATAGCAAAAATGATGATAAATAGAATAAGACATGTGGAAAATCCCTTCAGTATTCTCTTCATGAAATTACCAAATCTCTTGAGATATCTTTGAATAAGGAATCCAATACCAAGTGGGATAACTAAGGCAACTACGTACGTTGTAATTTGAGTATATGGAACATCTAGATTTCCACTGTCAAAAATTACTCTGCCTAAAGTAAAGATCCACAGTGGCATCATTCCAAATGCTGCTATGGTACTTATGGTCGTCATTATTATCGACAAATTCATGTTTCCTTCTAAGAGTACGGTCCAAACATTTGAAGCTCCACCACCTGGGGCTACTCCAGCAAAGAACATTCCGAGTTGCATTTCTACATTATCTGGGAACAAAATTTGTCCCAGTCCATAGCTAAGCTAAAAAATTATCTTCTTTTTAAGCTTTTGAGTTTATATCAGCATGTCCCAGAAATGGTTAGAAACAATGAAGTGCTGGGATCCTTGTTCAATTGTGTGGAGAACGAGTTCCCATAAAGTTTTTCCACCAAGCGTATGTTAAAAAGTTACACTCCTTTTTACCTTTAATAATTATACGCAATATAAGTACTTTTTAAGATAAAGTCACTAACTGAAGCTTCGTTATTCTACGTCAAAAGTAATTCATTTTAAATTTCAACAATCTATCTTTAAAACTATTTATTATTATGTATTATACTATTTATATGAAACACTTCTACGCATAGAATTGAAAGAGGATTCGATTATATCATTCTTTCCAAATATTTTCGGAACATGCTAGATAAAAATGATTAATTTTGGATAAATAAAACAAGTAATTAATACACTGACAGTTTCCAAAATTAATATACCAAAGGCATTAGAATAAATTGTCCGCAAAATCCAATAGTGGGGCCAATTGGTTTTTTCAAAATGGAGGGGAGTTCTGCCCAATCTATAGCACATCCAAAATTAACGTAAATTATGCTGACTAAAAGAGCGACAGATATAGTGAATATTCTGTCGATTACTCTCTGTTTTCGAATAACAATTACTCCCAGACTTCCTTCAGCTCTTTCGTTTGTTTCTATATTTCTACAGGCTATTGCTGTTGTACCTGGAATTTGGAAAGTTTAACACAACATCTTATTAATGTAAAATTAATATTCCACCTAAAAAAATTCCAGACATATTGAACGATCCATTAGAATCTACTTGAGGATTTACTAAAATTATATCTTTTTCAAGAGAAGCTATGCTTGTATCTAAACTGTATATTGCAAATTCACGTTGAGCTGAAAGCAAGACATGTATAATAAAATAATACATTATATAAAATATAATATAATTACCTTCTGCATCACTAACATTTGTAATAACAAATTCTACATTAAAAAGATCATCCATATGGATAGTGACAGTACTATTAGGTGTAAACGATATTGTCAAACCATTTATTACAGCGATTTTAAGTATTAAAATTTTAAATACAGCTAAGCATGAAAATGGCTTTGTCTTAAAATACATCTAAAAAAATAAATATGCTGGGGAAAAGTATTCAATAAAAAACATGTATACAGGGTGGCCTGTTCATGTTTCAAAAAAACTTGCCTGCGAGTTTCTCATGGGAAAATAATAATAATCAAGTGACGTTTTTTTCTTAGACAACCGGTTTTCAAGATACAGTGTTTTGAAGTTATTACTTACCAAATAGTTTTCCTTAATTATCTTTAAATCGGCTAAAGATAAAAATGTTAAAATTTGAACACAAGTAAACATCAACTGTGTGTTAAGAATAATGATGTGCAAACGGTTTTTTTCTGAAGAGCTGTGTCGCCGATACAGGTAAATGGTAATTTGTTACATTTCTAAACGGTTTAGTAAACTCTAAAGCATACTACAAAAAAAAAACAAAAAAAAAGGTATACTTGTCGAAATTCGGTAGCATGTACCATTTTCGAGAAAAATGAATTTGTATAGAAGCAAATGGGGGACAATTTAAGCATCTACTGTAGTATTTCGAGGCATGAAATAAATTTTCATTAACATCCCAACCGTGGATTTGTCCCAGTTGCTCGATAATTGTGTAGCTATTTTGTTCCGTCTATCTCCGAGTCTGCTTTCTAATACTTTTCTGTTCTTATCACTTTTTTTAAGCAATCATGGCCATAAACAATTGTTTCTTTTAGTAGTTTACAAAATCTAAAATTAGTTATTAATAGATAATTAATTACCATAATTTGTGTACCTATTTTGATTAACTTTTTTAAATGTTATTTTACAAGTTTAAACTTATAATAAATTAAAATTTTTTTTATTTAAGTTAATAAAATTTAACTTTTTTATGTGATGCGTAAGAAATTAAAATTATATTCTTAAATGCAAAGACTATTGGTAGGTAGCTAAATGACTACAGCTCATTTGATGGTAACTTCAATGTAGATTCAATACAATACATACATACAATCCAGTAATACATTCAATGTACTCGTGTCGCTTTAAGTGAGCATAAAAATGCAACTTCATTTTTCTCGAAACTGGTACATGCTACCGAATTTCGACAAGTATACCTTTTTTTTGTGGTATGCTTTAAAGTTTACAAAACCGTTTAAAAATGTAACAAATTTTGAATTTTAACATATTTTTTTTGATCGTACCCCTCCTATTACCTGTATCGGCGACACTGCTTTTCAGAAAGAAACCGTTTGCGTATTATTCTTAACGCACAGTTGATGTTTACTTGTGTACAAATTTTTACATTTTTATCTTTCGCTGAGTTAAAAATAATTAAGGAAAACCATATTGCAAGTAACAAGTTCAACACACTGTATCTCTAAAACAGGACATCTAAGAAAAAAACGTTACCCCCATTATTTTCCCATGAGGAACTTGCACACAAATTTGTTTTGAAACATGAACGGAACACCCTGTATGTACTTAATAACCGATTTTTAGTTTGAATGCTATAAATTCACATGAGTAAGAATCATGCCATATTTAACAGCGGCAGCTGATGAAAATTAAAGTGATAATATTTTGAAAATGAAATGTAAAGACCCATACAGTTTTTTAGACGAAAACTTGTAGGCTTACGAGAGAATAACTAACCTGCTGACAAAATATTTAATGAAATGATTGAAAATATTATGCATACAGGGTGGGCCAATGGAAACTTTCCACCCCGATTTTTTTGGTTTAAAATAAAAATCTGGGAAAATGCTCGGACATGTCGACTTTTGATTTGAGGGGGAACTATTTTTCAGTTTTTTCCATCCCCCTAGCTTTAGCCCCCTAGCTGGGGAGAGAACAACCCCCCAAATTTGAATAGGGGAAAGGGGTCGTGCCATACCTCTTTTTAAAGGTCTCATCGATTTCTTTGTGACCCTACAATTTCGCCTCATTATTTTTATCCGTAACGAAATGACAGCTTGTCAAAATAAAAATAAATAAAAATACTTACTAATTTATTAATTAGGTCTACACGTGAACTTTATCTAACAAACTGTACAAAATGTCCGCCATTAACATCTATGCAATAATAAAATCGATTCTCCATCTCTTCTCTAACATTCTGCAACATATCGGCAGTTATCCTTTGACATTCTACAGTTATGCGTTCTTGCAGAACTTGAAGAGAAGCTGACTGTTTTATAAATTGTAGACTTCAAATGGCCCCAGAGAAAGAAGTCTAGACAGGAAAGATCAGGGGACCACTCAATAGATCCCCTACGGCCAATCCAATGACCTCTAAAATTTTCGTTGAGGAATTGCCAACCGGGGGCTGCATAATGGGTTGGAGCCCCATCTTGTTGAAAAAACACTTCATGTTGTGACAAGTTATTATCTTCGGCAATAACCTCCCTTATTCTAGGAACAATATTGACTTGAAGCAAAGTAAGATACATCTCTCCAGTCAAATTGCCTTGCAAAAAGAATGGGCCGATTAAGTTATTAACTAAGATACCTGCCCAGACATTCAACTTTTCAGTATGTTGAGTGTGAGACTCAATAAATGTGGGTTTAAATCGCTCCAGTATCGACAATTATGTCGATTAATCAACCCATGTAGAAAAAAGGAGCATGCATCTGAAAAGCAGATATTGTACAGGAAATTCGGATCGCCAATACACCGTTCACTCATTTCTTCTACAAATTGTAATCGTCGGTCATAATCATCCTCGTTAAGTTCGTTAAGCAATTGTATCTTGTAGAATGTAAAAGGATAACTGCCGATATGTTGCAGAATGTTAGAGAAGAGATAGAGAATCGATTTTATTATTGCATGGATGTTAATGGCGGACATTTTGAACAGTTTGTTAGATAAAGTTCACGTGTCATCAATAAATTAGTATTTTTATTTATTTTTATATTGACAAGCTGTCATTTTGTTACGGATAAAAATAATGAGGCAAAATTGTAGGGTCATAAAGAACTCAATGAGTTCTATTCAAATTTGGGGGGTTGTTCTCTCCCCAGCTAGGGGGTTAAAGCTACGGGGATGAAAAAAACTGAAAAATAGTTCCCCCTCAAAGTCGACGTGTCCAAACGTTTTCCCAGATTTTTATTTTAAACCAAAAAAATGAGGGTGGAAAGTCTCCATTGGCCCACCCTGTATATTATTGTTATAATGAACTGATAGATACAAACAGGTCGTTTATTTTTCACAAAACTAATTTTTCGTAAAGGTATTACGAAATTTGAAAAAATGAATGTTAGTATCATATTAAAATATAAATAAGTATAAAGAAAAAATCATCTGATTAGGTATGTACATCAGTTGATTATGAACACAACATTTTTCGATTTCTCATGATCGGCAAATTTTCCTTTTTTTTTGTAAATATCATTTTAAAATTTGTTTTCATAAAAGTTTTCTGTCAGCATAGAAGTCATTAAAAAAACAATAAGGTGAGCTCCACATTTCATTATCAAAAAATACTATTTTAATTTCTACTTATTTCATAAATGTTTTTTAAATATATATTTATTTAAAAAAATGCTAAAATATTTAATAATTAAATTTTGATCTTAAACATTTAAATTATTGAGTAAAAATATTACAGTATATTTAGTAGAACATAAAAGTTAAGTCTTAAAAGTTTTATGGATCTTCTTTGTTAGCTTGCAATTCAATGACTATAAAAACAATATTTTTAATGAAAATTAAATGTAAAAAGGTACATACATTAATTCATTAAAAATAAAATAAATAAAAAAGAACATACCTCTACTAACTTTTGTAAACTTAATGATGCTTTTATATATAGATAAAAAAGGAATTAGGAATCTTCTTGTATTATTTTTATAGTGGTTATCTAAAACAAATTCAGTCACGTATAGATATGAGTAAATATATGGATTAATAGAAAATGTGTTATTTCATGGATTAGAAGGAACTACAAATAATTTTTGAGTCACTTGGTATTTTCACTTAATTTATGGCATTTGATGGAATATCATTTGTTCTTCACAAAATATAGCAACACAAAGAAGTGTTCTTTAAAGTTATTTTTATAAACTTCAAAATAAACAGATAATGTATCATACATATTATTCATAAAATCCTTTGATTTAAATATTAACGAGGAAAAATAATAAATATTTTCATGTTTATAATGATTTTTACGTACTTTTCTTTATACATTATTTTTATGTCGTGCTCTGTCCACGATTTATTCTGAATCATCTCTCTTGGATAAACTTGATGTTCTGAAAATAAATCAACATTTCTTTTTAGCTAGAGTTTAATTTTTGCAAAGTTATAACACTTACATGAATATGCAAGAAATGAAATGAAATTTTACCTAATTTTAAAGTAATACATATTATTTGAAGGTTCTTTTTTCTTACATTTTCGATACAAGGTGATGGGTTTATCTTTGTCATTGAAAGATAAACTATTATAAGTGTAACACAAAATTATTTATTAGTCCTGTCTTTCACATTTCTGCCTTGCTAGTAAGATAAAACCGAGGATAAAATGATCTGACAAAAATAAAACTGATGAACATATGCAATTCTTTTACTACTAACAAGGTATTAATTGCATTTTAAAAAGTATAAAACGAAATATACTTTTAGAATTTAATAACACTGAAGTTTAATTTCACCTGCATTGCCACTAGTACTTATTTTAATCTTTTTTTTTTTGCTTATAATCGAGTATTATATATCTCATTTTGTTCTAAAATAATCTAAAACTATAATCTGAAAGTAAACAAACTGTACGTAGGTACCTACTTAATATATGCTGATTATTTTTTAGATAACAGTCTCTAAAACTAAAGAGTAATGTAATCAACCGAATTCAATACATATTTAAATTTGATTTTCCTGTATACTTTTTTAAACGATACATGAGATGGATTAATAGATTGTTTTATAAAACAATTGTAAAAAATGTCTATACATGTTGCGAACTTTAAGTAGTTTAAAGGCGGAGAGTAATTTTCAAAATTTAAACGATCACCCACTAATTTTAGTACAAACACGTTTATTCAAAAACAAGTGAAAAGTTCTAATATGTAGGTAGGATAGGTTCGAAAATGTTTTCTATTAAGTATTCGTAAGGTGATACAACTTTTAAAATCAATTTTACTCAAAAATGGCAAGTTTCATCATAATCTAACAAGAGGACCTTCCATTTTAAAAAGTAAAAGTTATATTACTTTTTTACCCCCAACTTATTAGTTCGCTGATCAATTTTTAGAGATCTACCCATCTTGATGAGTATAATATAGCATATCTCGAATATGTATCATTTTACAGATACATACCTACATACATATAAACATAAACCCTGTTCAAAAGTATGCCCTTATTGAGAGTTATTCCATTAGGAAGCATTTTGAGGTCTATGTTTATTAGAACTTTTTTTTTTTATTTTTGAATGAAAAGTCTAGTGATGGTATTAGACAAACTAATTCTGGGACATTTTGTAGTTTTATAAAACCAAATTTATAAACATACTGTTTATAATTGGAATAAATTGTGGATGAATTTTGCACAACTGATAAAATTGTGATTTTAAACTAACCTGTATACAATGTTCATCTCCCTCACTCTCTGAATTGGGAAATAGACTTGGTGTCTGTGCCATTGTTTACATGAGTTATGATTTTAATGAACTCAGCAATATAGTCAATTACATAGGACTGAAAGCCAGCCCATGGTGGACTTTGGTCCATAGAAGAAAATGAGAGACTAATGGTCTGTCGGTTTGTGAGTATGGTTTTTATTTTATATTTATTACTTGAATAATATTCAGTTAAGAAATTGGCTTCTTTTTATCCATGTAGAAGCTAAGAAGAAAAGCCAGAAATATGGTTGTAATCTAATAAAGGCACATTATTATTATTATATAATAAATCATTTTCATTGTCATTAATATTATTATTTAATTAAACGTACATATGACATAGAAAAGATAAAAATTCTAATAAAGATTTGGACATAACAGAAAATATTAAAAAAAAATTGAGACGCTGCTTCACTGAAGTGGTTTTAGAAATTAAGATTAAGTAAAAATTTCTTTCCAATATTTAAATTTATTGCATATTTTTCTGCTTTTAACAAACTATATTGAATATTGTGTGGCTCATATAATTTTTTAGGGAATGATTTGTAAGCTCCCAAAGAGAACATTTATGACGAAAAAACTTTGAACGGAATTTGTAAAATAAAAAATTAATAGGGATTACTAACCCTGAGATTCCAAGAAGGGTTGCATATAATTGAGCATGTTTTTTGTAATAATCAACTGATAGACCAACGACAGCTTCTGTTTTCATTCTTGACAAAATTGAACTATTTTGAAAAAATAGGAAAACAGCTATATTTACTGTACAATGATTTTTCGGAATGTTACAGTTACAGAAATATGTTGCACTTCTTTAACTTTAGCTAGGATTCATTGACTTCATGTTGCTCTCAGGTCAGGTTCTGTGGGG